AGGTTTTGGGAGTCTGAGAAGGGGGGTGGGGTGTTTCCCTAGGGACGTTCCGACATGGCGCACCAATTGTCCTTGAAGCATTTGGGGAGCCAAATCCTTCTTGGTGGGTGCGGGGGTTGTCCAAAATATAGCACCTTGAGGATTTCCGCCGTGTTGTGAAACATCCCTCGCTCCTTTTTCTTCGTTGTCATCGATTGGGTCACCGCTTTGGCGGTACCATGCTGACGTCTTCGACCGTGCTCCGTCAAAGGATCCAAAGCCGAAGCCGTCGCCCGTCGAGTCTCGGTGCTTCGCAGTGCTCCGCCGGTGCGAGGGTCGTGCGGTCGTCGTGCGAGGACCTTCTTGCTGGTGGTCTTTGAAGCGATCCTTGGCTTGGAAACACTGCCCCCGTCACTGGTGTGCGAGGATTTTTTGAGAAAGGTGAGTGCGCTAGTTGGTGGTGCTACCTCCCAATTTCTTAGAAAGTAGCTTTCAAGGGGTCAATTCTCCACTCCCATGTTTGGATACCTTGAAATCGCACCAAAAAATCTAGCCTCCAAAGGCCGTGAAAAACACACACACCGAAACTGGAACCGAAAGCCTCCGCTGATTGCCGTGCATCGTGTGTTCGAGCGAAGGAGCGAAAGGGCCCCTGGTCACTGCAGTGGTCCAGACCATCTCTGGTCAACGTGGGAGACCAAAGAAGCAAAAAACCCCAAACTTCCCAACCAAGACATACCAAGACTCTCAAACCCTCAGACCCTCAGACCCTCCCCTCCCTCCCCTCCCGTTCCTTGGCGAACGATCCCAAAGATCTTCCCGCCAGATCGAAGCTGAGCCCCTTGACACCTCCCTCTCCCCAGGATTCCCTTGTTCTCCTGGCCGTTGATCCTCCGGAGCTTCATTTTCATCCCGCCGATGTACGACTTCCTCTTGGAGTCCTCATTGGCAGACCTGAAGCCCGAGTGGTTCCTTGCGCTACACGCGGGAAGGGAAGGGAGGCAGCGGGTGGCGTATCCGGTTCGTCCCATGGTGAAGTTGTAAGAGACTCTCAGCGTTTTTTCAGTGGGAAACACGCCTGGCTTCCTCGGCGAAGAAGGTTCGGTCCTCCTTGCCTGGAGGAGACCACAGACCAATCGAACAGGATGTTGAGGGGTTGTGGTGAGTGCTGCTGACCCCTGGTCGTGCAGAAAATCATTGAACATCCTCCAAACAGCTTGGTGACGACAGACGGACGCCCTGGGTTTTTTTCACACGGGTAGAACCGGGTAGAACTATGCCTGGAAGGGGTGTTTTCCAGGTGCCACAGCGATGCTTTACAGCATGTGCATGGTCAGTCGACCGCACGCAGCCGGTGCTGTTCTGTCATGAAACCGCCTCTCGGGGACGACTGCGGGTGGAACATCCAAGGAAGTTGGAGGACCATTGCAAGGTCTTCCTAGGAGAAGACACACCGGAGAACGGCGCACCCCGAAAGAGGACTCCTGGCCGACGCCGGTGTTTGGGGTTTTGACTATTGCCATGGTGCTTTGGGGGGGGGTTGGACCGAAGTCAAAACCGTTTTTATGGTCATTGGGGTCGTACGAATGTATTGGACACCAAATCTCCCAATGTCAAAATGTGGGGGACTACAGGGGAACTCTGATTCTCCAACTGGTATCAACTCTAGCCAACATGGCATCGCTACTAGGAGCGATCGGACGCTACTAGGGGCTCCTGGCCTTACTACTAGGAACAAGGACGCTACTTCCATCGTTTGTTCTTGCAGCTTGTTTTCAATGGTTTTTGGACAATATTGGACACCAAATCTTCAAAATCAACATGTCGGGGATAGTATGGTTTGGGGTCCGTGTTATTCATTTGAAGTTCCAGTTCTGAGTTGGGTCATTTAAACATCTTCGAAGGAGTTCGAACAACAAGGCTGTTTGCTGGGCTGTCTGGCTCGGTGGCGCTTGGGTGGCGCGTTGTTGCCCCTCGGGGTTCCCACGCCTTCGCCTTCAGTCCAACGTGTGGGGGCGCCGAATCCGAAGAGGAGGCCTAAGACCGACCAAGTTGGCTTCGGTTCCTGGAAGGCAACTGAGGCCACTGGGGCTCTCATTGAAGAGGGGGATTCGCCCTCCCTGGGGCTCTCAGCACTTGGATCGCTGAACAAACCAAGTGCCCCCTCGTTCTTCATGGCGGTTCAAAGCAAAACCCTATACAGTGTTGCCAGAGAGCTCTCTAAATATCCCTCCACTGCAATTCCTCCAAAAAGACTGAACAAAGTCTGAGAGACATTGCAAGCTCCAGCAACTCCATCTCTTCTTGCTTCATTCTATGGTCCATGTGGTTCTTTCCCCTCAGTCACAGCCCCTTCTGCCCGTTCTGCCCGTTCAGCGTCGCAGGAAGGTGGACTCCGTACGGGAAGCGCTGGAGCGGACGGGGAGCGGACTCCGGTGGCACGTGCCCTTGGCAGCGGAGCTCATCCGAGCGAAGTTGGCCGAAGCCGAGGCGCACCCAACTGGCGTGGACGGGTCCGGGTGCGGATGGCTGGAACAGCACGACGGACGGACGGCGCTGGACGTCTAGTACTGATTGAAATAAGAATGGAAGTGGTCACGTCTAAGGGACCATGCCATCCACTTCCATGGATTTGCATGGTTCGTTCGTTTGATTTCAGGGGAGTTTGCATGGAGTTCCAGTTCAAATGAACCCAATGAGTCGGACGCCAGTTCAAATGCCTTGTGTTTCTTCCCATGCTTTGTCCCATCCTCTCCCCACCCTCCTTGTGTCTTTCGACCTTCATTCCCCCCCAAAAAATAACATCCCACTACTTCGCTTGGTCCTTCAGGATTCCCGACGTTCCTGTTCCCTTTCGTTCACTCCTTGGGGTCCCGAATCTGCGTCCCGCGCCGCAGGAGTCCAGCGAGTCGAGCACCGACTCGGACGCCTTCGCGGAGGCGGGAGGGACCGGGGGCCCTGGACCTGCCGGAGCTGGCTCCAGTGCCGGGGGTGGCGCTTCATTCGGTGTATTTTGTTGGGGGTGGTTTTTAGGGCGGTGGTGGTGTTCGGTGGTTTTTGGAGTCGACGGACCTGAGGGGCGGGCTTTTGAGGGGTTCATTTGGAGGTCGAGTGCTTTGAGGGAGGGCCCAAGTGGTCGGAGAGTTGGAGGTCGGGGCTCGCTTCCTCTTCGGTGGATTGTAGTGGTCTGAAGGCTTGAGGTCCTGGTAGAGGAGTGAACGGGTTCGAGGCGGGGCATTGTAGGTTGAAAGCCTAGAAAGTTGGGTCAGTTGATGCAAAGGTGAGCACCCATGCTGTACTTCCCCACCAAGAAGCCTCTTGCAGGACCGATGTGTTCTCATTTCTGTTTGTTGAACATATACCATTGGTGCCAGCACCCTCCGTGTTTCCTGGTGACAACAGGTGCCCAGAAACCACCTGTGAGTGTCCCAAACCAGCCTGTTGGAGGGTCATGGTAGACACCAATCCTCTCTAAAGATTGAGCTTGGAAAGAGAAACCGATCGCAACAGCGACGAGGGCCCCCCCCCAATCAAGTACCACCCATGCTTCTTCTAAACCGCAACTCATGTGGTTGGTGTCATGTCCGGAACTCAACCCACACCTCCCCACCCCACGACCTTCGGTTCCTTCCAACACCGCTCGCCGGTGTTCAACGCTTGGGAATCGGTGGCTCGCTCCCGGCGATCCGCTCAGGTCTGTGAGACGCTGAAGCTGGTGGGCGATGTTTAAGCGCGGTGGTCGGAGCATTCCTGGACCGGTCACGCCGTGCCCCGCCGTGCCCCTCCCAAGACAGTCTTCCGCCCTTCGCGGGCGTCATGGGGTATCTATTAGTAGTATGGGCTTCACCATGTGAACGAAAGGAACCGCCACCCCCAACGGCCCAAAACGGCAGAGTTTGTTGGAAGCCGGTGTGCCCGAAGGAAGGCGGAAGGCGGAAGGCCGCCGTGGCCGTGGCGCGACCCGCTGGATCCGAACGGCCCGCTCGATGTCGTGGGTCGAGCATGGACGGCACGAGTGGGTTTGGAGCATTCTTGGTGCTTTGGGGGGGTTTGGACCGAAGTCAAGCTTTCTGCCTTCTTGAGTGGAGTGTTCGGTGGAACATTTGTATGGTCTGACTTGTCTTTTCGTCCAGGTGTTGAGCAAGCTCCATAAGTTTGTTGATGAGCCGGAGCCAGAAGCGAAGAAGTGTCATCCAGACTGCGGATAGAGTCACCCAAGGAAACGGACCCATACTAGGAAAAGAACCGTTCTTATGGTCTTTGGCGTCATAGGAATGTATTGGACGCCAAATCTCCCAATGTCAAAATGTTTGGGACTAGAGGGGAACTCTGATTCTCCAACTGGTATCATCTCTAGCCAACATGACATCGCTAGGAACGGAGCGATCGGACGCTACGTTCGGGGCTCCTGGCCTTACTACTGGGGAACAAGGACGCTACTTCCATCGTTTGTTCTTGCATGGTGTCCATGGTTTTCCCGCGTCCGTCCTGGAGCCCGACGCCGTACACGGTGGTGGAAGAGCACGAGCTTTAGTCCCCCAACAAGCAGGAAGATGTGTGTCTTTCCTCCAGTTCTTGAAGCTGCATGTGGTTCCCCACCATCCACCTGGAGAACCGATCCTGGCATACAGCTTCAAGCATAGAAATCGGGACATCAAGCTTCATGAGGGCTCAGATGGGCTGACTGAAAAGCTTCCACTCCGTCCCTTCCGTGGGTTTGCCATGTTGTTCCGCCCATCCGGCTGGTACCTCCACACAGAGGGAGAGAAGCACGGTCGGACACGCGCGAAGAAAAGCGGAGATTGGGAAAGAAAAGCAGAGCGGATGGGGATGAAGTGGAGCGAACCTCCAGTGAGGAGAGATCAGTGGTTCGGGCCAGCTTCCAAGGAAAAACTGGGCCAGCTAGGATCTGCTGAAGCGAAATCAGATCATCCAGTTGGAACCGGTTCCAGGGTTCCAGGCGACCCGGTGGGTCAGATCTTCCGACCGTTCAGGTGGGGGTTCGGGTGGCAACGGCTGAGGCCTTTCATCTCCAAGAGATGTTCCTCAGCAAGTGCCCGAAGCCATGCGGCGAAGCATGGTATGGCTGGTAGGGAGTCTGGTACGGGTTAGGGAGTATCTGAAACCAACAAAATTACCTTGGATTCCATCACAGTATGACGTGAGGCTCCTTGTCAACTTCCACTATGATGATGATTCTTGGCAGAACCGAACGTACACCGGATCAACGCACAAAGCCGAAAATTACGAGCCCCGAACGGTGTCCAGGTACGAGAAGGAGTTCCCCCACACGCCGGTGATGATTCAGGAGACGGCAGCAGTTCAGCAGCGCCGATGGTCGACAGATGTTTCCATCATACCATCCCAGCAATCTAAGACCCATCTAGAAGGGGTGTGGATTTCGCTGGTAGTTGCGTTCAGATGTCGCTGGCAACAGGTTCCCTTTTTCGCACCGAGGTGAAATTGGTTGTTTGGAGCGTTTGGTTGTTCCGTTCACGGAAGAAAAAGGCGTGTCTATCTCGCCTTCCAAGGGCTTTTCCACAAGCTCTCCGTTTGGCAAAGGCACAATTGGATCCATAGGCTTCTAAGATCAAGTCGGTATGTAAGGTGGTGATACATCAATGGTTCCATTGAAATCCATTGGACATGTTTTTTTCGAGAATTGATTTCACCCAGGCCTTTGGCCAATCATGCTCCCCTCGACCTGCTGAAGTAGCTGTCAGTTGCCGTGCCTGGCAGGATTTGACTGGAGTAGATGTAGACGTTGGGTGCTTGTGATGGTTTTGAGCCACCTGACGAACAGGGGCAACCGGGCAACTGCACTTGGGTGTTTGTGGGTACGGGGTCACCTGGCGCCTTTGAGCCCCCATACTACTTGTGGATCGACACCCTGACAGGAAGCTCCACGCAGCTCCGTCCTCCGCTCCGCCGAGCTCCGATCGAACCGATCGCATGGGCTCTTGCTGCTGCGATCGCCCCAGGAGTATCACAACCCCCATGGTGACGTGCGCTGGGCAGTGAAGATGGCAGACTGGAGGGTGGATTGGGGATGGAGTTTTGTGAGGATGTGCTGTGGGTCTTTTGGGGGGGCTTTGGCTCCGTGAAGAATGCGGCTTTGGCTGGAAGCTTTTGGTCCAGATGGGCCACTGGAACGAAGAAAGAGAAGCAAAAACGACCGCATCATGGTCCCACCCTTCCAGTGTGGCTGAAGGAAAAGGCACAGGCCTTGAACCCGATCAGGGAAAGCTCAGTCTATGGGCATGTTCACACAAAAGCGGCCAAGAAGAAGCTTAGTAAATTGCATTCAGGTGTTGTTTACTGGTCATTTCAATTTCAAGGAGTCCCTCACAAAAATCTCCACCAACACCGTTTCAAGACTACCCGGACCCAATCGCACGTGCCCAAAGATCCGACTCCGCTCTCTCCATGAGTCAATCCGCGTGCCACAGCACAGGTGGAGAAGGACCTCCGGGACGTGCTGCAAATGGCACAAGGCCAGGAAGTCAGAGAAACTGGGGAGCGACGTGGTGGCGCGAAGCGACGCAGGGTCTTGAGACCATCGCAAAAAGCAACACAGCTTTTAACCAAGCATTCTACAAGGGTGCCACCACCCTGTATGTAGACCGCGCTGAAGAACACCTCGGACATCATGCCTGGGTTGGAAAAAGATCGTCTTTAGACAGTTTCAGAGGATGGAAGTCACTCACCTCACCCAGCTCATCGTTTCCAACACCTGTTCGAAGGCTCCACCTCTCTTGGACTCAGCTCCATTCACACCTGTTCTTCAGGCTCCAAGCTGCTGAACGGCGTGAACTTCTTCGAGTTCCACGTCCGTCGGGGCGTCGGATCTGACGAGACGAGACGAGACGAGCGGGGTGTGTTCGTTCGGCAAGGCGAGCGCACCCCATGGTGGACACAGTGGTGGACACACCTCTTTCTTGGGCTGATGAACCTTCTGAAGGGGTGAAAGTAGCTAGATTGAGATAGAAAACTGCCACTTACCTCTGGGTCTTTCTTTGTCGCACCCCACTGGCCCCACTGGCGAAGTCCCACCCCGGCGGACGTGGTCTCGGTGTCTTGGGTTCCGGACCGAACTGCGGTTGTCAGCGTTGCACGACGCGGGGTAGAGCCGTAGATCTTCAATTCGCGAGAGGAAAGAGTGTCCAAACCATGTCCTTTCTCTTGTACTCTCATGTACTCTCCTCATGATCTGTTGATATTCTGTTGTGCGAATGATGCTTCTTTCTCCCCTGTAGCCGTTGGTGTGTCTCTTTTGCCACCAGACAACACCCCGTGGCCCCCGGTCGGCCGACCTTCAGGGTGTGAGACCAGCAGCCACCGGAACGTCGCCGGAACGAGGCTACGACAAGGGCGGCAGCGAGATGGACTTCGGCATGTTCCAGCTGGGGGACGGGGTCTCCACGGCTGCCTCGCGCGCGGGTGGATCTTTCAAGGGAAGGGTTGAACTCAATAAGGGTCCCATCACCGGGTGGGAGGCGGATCTGCTGGAGGTGTGGCCATGGTGTTGTGGCATGGTGACGTGTCGTGGCATTCGTTCCGCATGTCGTGAGCATGGTTTGGATGCATGGTGGACACCGGTTCCGTGGGCTCCTTGACAGCGAAAACCCCAAGGAGGGGCAGTCGTTGGATCACACGGTGATGCTTGCGCCGGAGACGTGTAAGCGCGCCGTTGGGTAGATCGACCGCGTCTCCAAATGACACTAACACCGGTTCAAGGCAAAACACCGTAAAAGGTTGAAAGAAAAAAGTAATAAATCAATAACACATACAAAGAAAGAAGAATGAGGGTGCCCGAGGAAACCGTCCCCCCGTTTTCAGCCTGTTTCCCCCAAAAAGAAGAGAGAAAGAGAGAGGTAAAATATAACAAAACCAAAAAGCACACAAAAACCGCATGTCTCGATCCCTGTGGTCGCCGTGATCAGCGTCGTTGCAGGACTTTGCGGTGCAGGACTTCGATTACTTCGGGGATTCCTTCAAGGCCTGGTGCCTGGTCCCCGCCAAGTCCAAGGCACCGCGGCTTCTTCCGCGTGCGCGCGCGCGCGCGTGCGCGGACCAGCGTGACGGTGAGTGGCGCGCAGCGAGCGGTGTGCTTTCTTGTGATGGATTACTAGGTCTTTTGACAAATTGTTTTTCTGGTTGAGGTTCACATTTTTTTGCCTCTTTTCAGCCTTTCAGTTAGAAGCTTTTTGAAGAGGTTGGAAGGTTGGAAACAAGGACTTCTTACCTGGCGGATGTTGCCATGATACCACACCTTAGGATCCTGGGCCTTCCTGCCGCCTTCACCGGGCCCTTCCACAACGGCCATGTGGTTCGTTCTGCGGTGGTGTTCGTCGTTGGTTGAGTTGGACGACCGAGTCCGGCGTGGCACCTCTTGGTGGCCAGGAAACCCTTTTGTTGGGCAGATCCGCGCCAGATTTCCACCCAGCACCGCTGGTGGTTTGATGAGGCCCAGACCAGGCGGATCTCACCCAGACCGTCGGCTCGCAAGGGTTGGAGGAAGCTCCGTGTCTCGCAAGTCATGTCTTCGTTGCTCACGTCCGGATCCGGCAGGGTTCGCCAGGATCGCCCTGGTCGCAAGTTCCTTGTGGACACCGGATCGATTGCCCCTCGCAGAGCGAACCAAGTCCCTGGTTTGCGGGGGACCACGTCCGGGGAGGGGACCCTGCGATGAGCTTTCTAGTCGGCCAAAAAGAACAATGGAAGGGTTTTGACAGGTGGCACAGCAGCTGCAGCAGACTTTGACGCTGCAGGAGGATACCGAGCTGGTGGCTCCGCTGTGCAAGAGCTCGGTTCCGCAGATGTCAGGCATGGCAGGATTTGGTCCATGGGCGCATGACGCGCAACTGCAACTAGCCAAGAAGCCCATGATCCTTTGCAGCCGTAAGATAGGCAGCACAGTCCCAAGCAAAGTGCAAGAGCTCGCGACCTGTGGTTGACGGAACTTGCCGTGTGAACTTTCCAAGCGGGTGCTCCATCTGAGGAGAAACCTCAGAAGTTTGTGGTCAAAAGTAGGCAAGCCAGGTGCGCGCAAAAGCAACAGAACGAGTCGGCCCAAAAGCACTGAGGAAAGGTGTCTGGAGCTGCGCCTTCCTTTCTCCAAACCAATAAAGTGCACAAGAGCTTCCAACCTTTGCTTCATCTTTCCAGACGAGTTCCATGTCTTGGCAACCAGGCATCCATAAGGTGAACCATACACGCAATCATCCCAATTGCAGGCAGGCGAAGTGCTCCCCACAGCGCTGATGGCGGCCTACGGCGGAAAAGAACTGGACTGCTGGGAAGTTGTGAAAACAACCACTGGGGCTGAAGGCGTGACATTCATGACCCTTATAAGACGACGCTGTGGGGAACACAAACATGAATCGCTTGGACCAACACATCCAGATATTGGCGATCATACCTCAGACCAACAAAAAAAGTAAGGCGCCTAGCTACTAGTAGTACTGCCCCTGTTACTAGTAGTTTCTTGTTCCCCTATGCAATTTCGGGGCCCAGTTTTGCTTTGAGGACTTCGCGGAGCTTTGCTTGCCAGACCCTCGCAAGGCACACCCGGTGGACCGGAACCTTACATGGGTGCGGCCTCCCCAGCAGTTTACAATTTCATTTGACCTGTGTGGTTTGGTCACCTCGGGCTTGACCTATACACATCCTTCTTGGTGATTGTTCGCGGTTTATGAATAGAATTGTTTTGTTTGTAATTCTTTTGGTGCGTTCAACCACGCCCATGTTTCTGCAGATGCACCCTTGCTCATCCACGGCCGAGCATTCCGAACTTGGTTTGGGCAAACAAACCTGCCAATTTCCTTTTGGGTCCAAGACCAAAGAGGAAACCCATTGAAGACCAAAAAGGTTCCGACCAAAAGTCGGAAAAGATCATGGATCGCATCGGTGTTTTCGGGTGGTTCTTTTGGCCCCGTGTCGTGAACTTCACCCCGAGCGGTGCCTGGTGCCTTTTTCGCACGGTCGTCCTTTCTTTGTTTTGGGCGAACCTCGGAGTTCGGGAGTTGCACCGTATTGGGGGTTCGAATTTGGACCCATTTTTCAAAGGGGCCGGTGAGGTTGGTTCTTGGTTCAAACCATAAGGCCACCGGGAAATGTCTTCCAAGTGAAGAAGAACCTTTTTTTTTTCCCGAATGCGTAGCGAAGGGTTCTCGTTTAACTCTTGGGGGTCTGGGGGTAGAGTCTTGTTCGCGATCCGTTGCTTCTATGTTCGCAACCGTCCGCAACCGTCCGCAACCGTCCGCAACCGTCCGCAACCGTCCGCAACCGTTCGCAACCGTTCGCAACCGTTCGCAACCGTTCGCAGTAGGACGCTAAGGCGCTGCCATTGGGGAAAGCTTTTGCAAGTGACTTTTCATGGATGTGTCACGTGTCAGTTTGCGACGCTATTCCATTGTGATTTGCATGAAAATGACATGTCGCGCAAGAAGCGTGATGCATCTCGCTGCACAGGCGCAGCGTTTTGTGAGATCCTCAGTTTGCTACGCAGTTCCATTGGGATTAGCATTTGGAGAGTCGTGTTTTTGGGGTGTTGGATGTGGCCGTGCCATTGGGATTTGCCTTTCAGGGTGTGGCATCGAAGCTCTGTTTTCGTGACAAGTCTCAGCTGAAATGGCGATTTTGGTGGATGGGAGTGTGCTCAGAACGGATCGAAATCATTCCAAACGTGTGGTGTGGTGCAAATTTTGTTGAAGCTCACATGAGATGATATTGTCACTTTTCGTGGCAGGCGCAGTACTTTGTGCGGGTTTTGAGGCATGGAAGTGTGATTTTCGTGGCAGGCGCAGGGAATCGTGAGGTTGCGAGGTGTGACGGAGGTGACATTGCGTGGCAGGCGCAGTACTTTGTGCGCGTTAGACGTGTGGACGCGGAAAGATGCGTGGCAGGCGCATGGAATCGTGAGGTTGTGAGTTGTGGTAGAGGTGACTGTCGTTGTCTCATTGGGATTGGCGTGTGAGCGGGTGTTGTTTGGAGGGGCTGGAATCACGAAACTGCTTGGCAGGGCTGCGTGATGTGTTTGCTCCGATGGTTGTTTCCGCTTGACTTTTGGAGGAAGTCTCGTACGAAACGCTCGTTTTGGAGACTTTGACACGTGAGTTTTTGAGGAAGTCTCGTACGAAACGCTCGTTTTGGAGAGTTGACGCGTGACTTTTGGAGGAAGTCTCGTACGAAACGCTCGTTTTGGAGACTTGACGTGTGACTTTTGGAGGAGGTCTCGCACGAAACGCTCCGTTTTGGAGACTTGACGCGTGACTTTAGGAGGAAGTCTCGTACGAAACGCTCGTCTTGCAGCCTCGAAGCGTGACTTTTGGAGGAAGTCTCGTACGAAACGCTCGCGTGACTGCTTCTAGTGTGTGGGCAGACCGTGTCGCGACACGAGTGTCCCACAAGAGTGTCCCACAAGAGTGTTCCACAAGAGTGTCCCGCAACCGTGTCCCACAAGAGTGTCTCACAAGAGTGTCCCTTAAGAGTGTCCCACAAGAGTGTCCTATAAGAGTGCCCCACAAGAGTGTCTTACAAGAGTGTCCCACAAGAGTTTCCTACAAGAGTGTCCTATAACAGTGTCCCACAAGAGTGTCCCACAAGAGTGTCTCACAAGAGTGTCCCACAAGAGTGTCCTACAATAGTGTCTCACAAGAGTGTCCCACAAGAGTTTCCTACAAGAGTGTCCCACAAGAGTGTCCCGCAAGAGTTTCCTACAAGAGTGTCCCACAAGAGTTTCGTTCAAGAGTGTCCCACAAGAGTGTCCTACAAGAGTGCCCCACAAGAGTGTCTTACAAGAGTGTCCCACAAGAGTTTCCTACAAGAGTGTCCTATAACAGTGTCCCACAAGAGTGTCCCACAAGAGTGTCTCACAAGAGTGTCCCACAAGAGTGTTCTACAAGAGTGTCTCACAAGAGTGTCCCGCATGTCCCACAAGAGTGTCCTACAAGAGTGTCCCACAAGAGTGTCCCGTATGAGTGTCCCACAAGAGTGTCCGACAAGAGTGTCCCATAAGAGTGACCCACAAGAGTGTCCTACAAGAATGTGCAACAAGAGTGTCCCGTAAGAGTGTCCCACAAGAGTGTCCTACAAGAGTGTCCCACAAGAGTGTCCTACAAGAGCGTCCCGTAAGAGTGTCTCACAAGAGTGTCCCGTAAGAGTGTCTCACAAGAGTGTCCCACAAGAGTGTCCCGCAACCGTGTCCCACAAGAGTGTCTCACAAGAGTTAAGAGTGTCCCACAAGAGTGTCCTATAAGAGTGTCCTACAAGAGTGTCCCACAAGAGTGCCCTACAAGAGTGTCCCACAAGAGTTTCCTACAAGAGTGTCCTATAAGAGTGTCCCACAAGAGTGTCCTACAAGAGTGTCCTACAAGAGTGTCCCACAAGAGTGTCCCGCAAGAGTGTCCCACAAGAGTGTCCCGCAACAGTGTCCCGCAAGAGTGTCTCACAAGAGTGTCCCTTAAGAGTGTCCCACAAGAGTGTCCCACAAGAGTGTACCGCAAGAGTGTCCCAAATGAGTGTCCCACAGAATTGTCCCACAAGAGTGTCGCGCAACAGTGTCCCACAAGAGTGTCTCACAAGAGTTAAGAGTGTCCCACAAGAGTGTCCTATAAGAGTGTCCTACAAGAGTGTCCCACAAGAGTGCCCTACAAGAGTGTCCCACAAGAGTTTCCTACAAGAGTGTCCTATAAGAGTGTCCCACAAGAGTGTCCTACAAGAGTGTCTCACAAGAGTGTCCCTTAAGAGTGCCCCACAAGAGTGTCCTGCAACAGTGTCCCACAAGAGTGTCCTACAAGAGTGTCCCACAAGAGTGTCCTACAAGAGTGTCCCACAAGAGTGTCCTACAAGAGTGTCATTTGGACATATGTAGCTTTTCGAACGTGTTTGCATTCGGGTTCGTGGGCTCCATCTTGTTTTGTTTTTGCTCCACACAAGAGCTCGCGCGTGTTTGGTGGATGTGGACTTCGGACTCAACGGGGAGTCCGGTCAGAGCCGGTCGGAGGGGGAGACCGGCGCCAAATCTTGAGTGGGAGCGCCGGAGACCGGTACCTGTCAAGTGTTTGGTTACGAAGCATCAGAAAGTCTACCCAACTGTTTCAGCAAGAAGGAACACCAACTGCCATCGAGAACGTCGACTCATGTACATACCATATCAGAAGCCATTTCTCTTTGTCCGGTTTTTCCTTTCCAAACCTCCCACACCGTGCTCCGGCAGACAACCGCTTCACCAGGTGACCTTGACCGCCCAGGGCTACCGGAGCATCGCAGAGCCGCGGCCCCAGTTTGGGCAGGGTTTGGGCGGGCAGGGTTCCGTTCGATTCCGCTTGATTGGCCAGGGTTTGATTCAGGAACTGCTCGTTCTTTCTTTATGTTTGTTTTCTGAGAGTCGATCTGGTGTTGTCCTTTCTTTCCGTGTGGGTATGTTCGTCTTGTCCAGCGGGATGCGTCTTTCTTCTTCGGGAACTTGGGCGGCATTGTCGCCGTGTTTTCTCGTTGATAGATGTTTATAGAGTGTTTTTTTTTGCATTGTAGTTTGCAGCGGAATGACATTGTGACATTCATGAGTGGAGCCTCGATCTGGGTTGAATGAGTTTGGTGCAGCTCTCCAGGGCTGTTTGAAGGGATGCTGTCTGACACTGTCGCTCGGAATGCTGTCGGCTGCGAGCGAAGCGAGCGATTTCGGGTCGAAGATGCTGCGATTACACGGTAGCAAGGACGTTACGTTCGGGGCTCCTGGCATCGCTACGAACGGAGCAAAGGGCATCGCGACTCGAACGGAGCCAACAGGGTTCTTCGGGATCCAAGTTATAGGGGATCGATAGCCCGTCACTCTCACGATGAAAAGTCGGGTGAAATCCATCCGACCTAGAGAAACGCGTATACCGGCTTTTGGGCAGGTCTGCCGCCACCTGCCACCAGCGCCAGTCACTGTCCGTTCCATCAGTTGTTCCATCGTTTCGGCCGAAACAGTGCTCAACTGCGAAGCTTTTCTAAAACAACGCCTGCACCCAGTTCCTAAGGAATTAGCTCCAAAAAGGCAGACGGATTCTAGCCCTTCGACCCGACCCGGTGGGGCAGGCAGCGACGCCCCGAGAAGATGCAGATCTTCGTGGCCGCTTGGGGGGCAAAAAGGGTCCAAAGAGAACAAAGAGAGGATGTGACCAATCACAAGTTCCAATCACAATCTGATGACCAAGCTGGTGCTAAAAGGAAGTGATGTTATGTGTGTTTTCTTCTCTCTTGTGTTGTGTTGCTGGTGTTTTGGGGGGAGGAGGGGGTGGAGGGGCACGGTGTGGCATACCCCAACAGGAAACGAGAGAAACGCTGTGTTAGTACATGTTCCGAAGGTGATATGTTTCTACGTCGGATGGAGAGAGAAAGCACGATCGCGGCGTTCGAACGCCACGCTGTCGATCGATGTGGCGAGGGTCCTAGTGACTAGTGCTGGTTGGGGTGTTCACCCATATTCTGGTTCCACAAGCGGACAAGCAAAAAAAGACACAAAAGCAAAGAGCACTGATGGAAAGACGAAAAGTAATCAAAAAAAATACACGAAAAGAAAAATATTCTATATAGAAAGCACCGCCCGTTTGCGCTGTGGTTCACTCAGGAACGCTTGGTGACCCACATGGGTGGCAAGGCGCTCGGGACACCGCACCGCCCGGTCCGGACCACAGGGGTGCCCCTGGGTGTCTTGCCGAGTCGGCCCCAGGGTCTTGGCCCCCCAAAGAGTCTCAAAGAGAAATTCAATTAGCACTTGTTACGACGTCTTCCAAAAACTTCAACTTCGAACTGGTCGTTTTTGTCGGACGCAGGTCTCAGACGCAGCAGCGCTGAGGACCTTCGTTGGGGCCTCGGCGCATGGCTTCGTCGATGAGCATCCTTCAAGGTTTCGACGGATTGGAGGATTTGACTCATGCAATCATCATACCTGAACTGTGTCTTCTAAATCCTTCAATGCTTTTGATACTCTGCCCACTTGGATGTTTGTACACCTCTCTCTCTCTCTCTCTTCTTTGCAGGTATAGGGCAGTGTACCTTTGTTTGTTTGCCGATGCTTTTCACTTCCTTCGTATACCTACCTCCTCCCCCAACTCGACCCCCGGCGCTGATGGCCAAGGTGTGGTTGTTACGGTGGGAACTGTCCGAAAGACTCCCGATCTTTCATGATCTGAAGATGATCGCCCCAATCAGAAAGCCTTCTCCGGACACGAACGATTCACACGGACCCTGAAAACTGTAGTTAACTAGGTCCTAGGTCCTATGGGGTTAAAAACGCTTGTAGGACGATCATGTTTGCAGGAGTTCTTTTGTCTCTTTTCTCAGGACTTCCCCTTTGACTCCTCCAGTTTTGCCCGTTGACTCCTCCGGATCCGAGGCACAAAGCTTCGACCGCCGCAGCATCGCCACCGTGAACGCCAGCAGTCCAGGTGGGGGTTGACACAGAAGTGGTGAGTGCTGGCACAAGTGGTGCAAGCACCAAAATGGTAGGAGCTATGACAGCTATGAGCTGCAGATAGGTGGCTGCGAGCTGTGTGTGTGTGTGTTTTTGTTTTAAAATTGTTTTTGGTGTTGACCTGCCAATCCGTGTACCAGTCTCCCTTGTCTCCATCCGGTGCGCTCGGTTGCGATGGCTGTCGTGTTTCCACCTCGGAGGCGAACGGACGCGAACCGAATGCCTCGCGCCGTCGAACAGGACCAGGCCAGCTACGGCCCTTCAGCGCCTTGGTCGCGGAGTTGCGACGCCATCCCAGCTGGGCGGGCGCGGTGCCCCGGGTTGGGTCAGGCACTGGGTCGAACACACGGTGGAAGGACATGGAACGGACTTCAGAAAAGAATGGATGCCAGGTGTTGGGCAATTGCGTTGGGCAGGCCATCATGTGCAGAGGTCAATATATCTAGGAGATGACCAGGCCTGATCTTGTTGAACACTTGCCAAAGAAATGATCAATTTTGTTGGGGAACACAACAGAGCCCTGCTTTCAAATCTTCCATTTGCCGTCAGCTCTATACCAGGCGTGTTCCACAACTGGTGCCGTGGAGATACTGTCATACTGGACCTGCTGATCAATGAGGGAGGGGTTGTTTCTCAATAGGGCCATAGGGCTCCTCCATGTGCCCTCCCAAGAAAAGAACACTTCTCCCCCCTCTCAAGCCTCCTAGGGGGTCGGGTCTCCTCCAGGCTGGAGCGAGTCGACGGCCAGCTGCATCGCCGACCGGCGGAGTCACGAGCCCGCCGTCGGCAGCGCCGTAGGACGGTCCGTGGGCGACGCTCGGTGCGGTGCGGCGAAATGGAGATGGGAGGTCTACCAACAGAGGTTCAAGGACCCGAACTAGACTATCCCAGTTGGGTACCCCAGGTGACGGGTCCTAGTTCAGGTCACGTTCCACCTCTCTTGGTAGGTGGTTTTGGAGGTGAATCGCAGACCAGACCGCCCCGATCTAATTGCCCCACGGCCCCACAGCTAGCTGCGCCAGGCGATGCCTGTCGGCACTTGGAGATCATCCAATGCCACGAGGTGCCCTCGGAGTGCTCGGGCCACCCAGCGCACTCCGCGGTCGGCTCCCCCACGCGTGGCGAGCGGAACATCGGGAGGGTCCGGCGATCGGCGTGTGGTTTGCTACGGTGTGCGGTTGGTTTGTGGTGGGTGGTTTGGTATGAGTGTGTGGTTCGGTGTGAATCGTTGGGTTCCGGTTTTTGGCCAGTTAAGTACTGTTTGGATTCTTGTTTTGTATACGAAAGTCCTGAGTTCTTTGGAGACTTCAGCCTTGTTCGATGCATGTTTCAAGGGGATTCACTTGACTCAGTCTCTTTCGGGATCAGACGTCCCTTTGAGTCCATGGCCTGATTTGGAGGTACCAACCATACTTTGGTTGCCCTCGGTATGCGACATAGAGCCCAAGGAGTTCCTTGGACTCCTTCAGGATCATCGTGACCAGGAGTGAGGGAGTGAAAATTACCAGGACCTGGTCTTCGGATGGATGTCCGGGTCATCCGCGTCGAGCGTTCCACCCCCACCCGAGGTAAGTCGAACATCTGGGGCGTGGCAGACTACGCCCTTCGGCGCTGGGAAACTGGATGGTTTTTCGGGTGGGAAAGAGGCGTTGCCCCTGGGGTCGGCTCAGGCGAGGCACGGCGGACGCCCAAAAACCTGTTTCCGGAAGGTTTGACGTTTGAAGCTGTGAAGCCACCGCTTTCGTGTCCTGTCCCGCCCCCCAGGAGAGTTGGGCTGCGGCCCATCTCTTTCTCAGAGAGTCCAACGGGTGGTGGATGGATTGACTGCCCAACTGGGCTAGGGCTAGGTAAACGGATGTTGGCAGTCAATCCATTTGATGTTGTGGTAAAAGAAGAACACCAAATCCATCAAGACCAACCAGCTGCTTCCAAGCAGCTTACCGGACAACCCCACACTGCTGGACTAAGTCACCAGACTGGACACCCAGGCCCAGTGTCGCGCTGGGAACCTTAAATGAGTCCAAACTGATGTTCAGTTGGTCGTTCGATGTGACACGTCCTTGGACGCCGAGCGATGCACCGGGAGATCCTTAAGCAGTTCGAGCGATGGGATAGGAACTGCTTCGCCAGAACGGTTGGTCTGCAGGGTTGATGGTTCGACGAACCTGGGATGAGCGATGAATTTCAGAAGGAGATACATATGACATATGATACAGGACATCAACAGTTTCACAAGATACAAAGAAAAGAACCTGTGGTTCACGTGTTGCACTTGTTCGCAGGGGTCATCCAAGGCTTTGGTGTGCCCAGAAATGTTGCTTCCCAGCGAACTTTTGTTAAATGGGCCTTGCAGAAGCGTTTCCGAGCTGTGGTTCTCTACTAGTTCCTCAGGTCTATTCCATTGGTCCGTGCGCTTTGGAGTCGAATTTTGGCCCCACCCTCCACCTCTGTGATCCACCGTTGGTCGCGTCCCAAAAAAACGTGAGGTCTTCGGAGTCTACTACGCCCAGCATGGAGGGAAGTCACCCTTGGAGCATTGCTACTTCAACGGCCGGGGGAGCTCGGGGAACACCCGGCGCAAAGCGCCGAAAACGCGCGCGCCAACGCGGTTCATCCGGTGCCCCGAAGAGACCGATTAATTTGGACATGAGTCCTTCACCAGGGCACTGAGCAAGTTGTGATACTTTTGCTTTGCGGAGACCTTGGCCACGGGTCTTGTGGGTTAAAGGATGTGCCGTTTTGTGAAAACTTGGAACCTCAGGAACCTCCAAAAAGGTCCAACTTGAAAAAAGAAAAACAGCCACACATATGGGCGCGAAGAGGTGTCGTCAAGCCAGAGAGCTCCACCCTAAGAGTGATGGCCTCCAACATATAAAGTCTACTAAAATGGCCCTCCGCAGCACACTTTGCTTAAGCAACCCTTCGATCTTGCTTCCTGACGAATCTCCCAGCAGCCCGGCACTCAGTGGAATGAGTGTTGAAGGAGAGTCCATTCACGCGAGAAGAACTCACAGTACTCACTCAGAAGCCCACAACGATCATGTCCCGTTGTTTAACCACTGTTTGGAGTGAGTGCTTAAAGGGTTTGTGGCAACAACCGTGCAAGTAAACCACGCCAACTACAGATGTCGCCGTCATGTCCTATTTTCCATGTTCCAATTCCAAAGCACAGATCACTTATTGCTTTCTTGCATTTCACGAGTGTTCCTCGAAATGCTCCCTCACCCAGCAATCCTCCTGCTTTGTGCCATTTTGTCGATCCCAGAAGTTCCTCTCATCCACCAGAAGTCCCTAGTCGGTCTCCGGTGGTTTCGCTCCGTCCAAGGAACATGCAGGGATACTCCGGCTTCAACACTGCTACCACTGGAGGCCCAGAGAGAAATCTTCGGTACGTCGCAGCCCTCGACAGAGAAATCCCCCAAATCATAGGATCTGAGATGATTCTTGCCAGTCAGGCGTTCCGAAAGGAAACCTGGTGCTTTGAGAGTGCTTTGAGAGGTTCTCTACCATCTCTCTCCAACTCTTCCAGCCAAGAAAACGCCCCACAAAGGGCCATCAGGCGCACTTGGACCGGAAAATGGTGGAGAGGACCCGAGCTCCGGAGGATTGTTGAGGGTCGTTGGAAGGCTTCCAAGCATTGACAAGGCTGAATGTCCCCAATCTCAGCTCTTCCTTTGATCTCTGAAAGAGATGTTGGTCTTTGGTCGAAGTTCGCTCGGCTCCTGGAGTTTCTCTTTTTGAATTGGCACACCCTCGCCGCATCCCCCCCCCCCATCGCCCCATCACCCGGCCAAGGTGCCATGGCCTTCGCCTTGGCGCCGGCGCGCAGCGAGGCTCGCACCGAGCACTTCAGCTACTGCGCCGAGCTCAGCGGCCGCGGCGGCGCATGGGTTCGGGGGAAGGGGTCCGAAGGAGCCCGTCGTCGCTTGGGGCTCCAACTCGCCCAAAGGAACGGACCTTTGCTCAATTCGACCGAGGGAGGCGCGGGGGGGGGGCCAACATGGTGGGAAAACTCCCATAGAGGGTCGTCTACGGAGGGTGATTTCAGCATGGGAGTTTCTCTTAGATATCTTCCCTTGAAACAATCCATTAATTCTGGGACATGATCGAGGTACATGAGCTCCGACAGGTACCGGTACGTCGCAGAAAGAAAACCATCCACCGTCTCTAGCAGAAACTACCCATGAAACGCTTGCCTTCGTTTCAAAAGGCATCCCTAGGCTTCCGGCCATCATTGTTTTAATTGTTTCTTTTCCAAACCACCATCGTTTTACAAAGGATTTTAAACGACAACACCAGGTCCACCATTGTTTAGTGGTCGAACAGACTTCCAGGTACCTGTTTTTGCAACTGTCCGTTCTCCCCAGTGTCGTCCGGTGTCGTGGTCCGGTGTCGTCCAGTGTCGTCAGCGCACGGACCCTGAGGCCCTGGTGAAACGTTGAAGATGTGGCTGGGCTGTTCACGAACGGGGCATCCGTGCAGCGATCGCTTGGACCAAAGGCTTCGAGGTGTTTGGCGGCAGACAGGTGGAGCTGGTGAAAATGATGAGACGTTGAGCCGAAACGAAGAAGCTACAAAGGCTTGATTGTTACTAGTAGCGATGGCCTCCAACCTAATAGCGATGGCCTCCACCGTGCGTAGCTTCTAGTTACTAGAACCGAAACGAAGAACGAAGGATCGACCCGTTCGGACCAAGCTTTTTCTGATCCACACCCAGGAGGTTCCATTTCGAAGTAAGGCGCGGAGCGGCTAGATATGGCTAGATGTGGCTAGATAAGCAGGAACCTTTTCAAAGGATGCAACAGATGCTCCAAACCTTGGATCCTTCCACCTCTTGGCGCCCAAGTGGCGCCGTTGCTCCAAGCACTCGGGAACCGTGGTCCATTCACGGCCGCCGTGGCGGCTGGCCGTGGCGGCTGAGGACTGCTGCGTTGCAAATCGAACAGCCACTGTTTTGGTGCGGGCCTCAGATGGAGAGACTTGGCGCATGGGCAGCGGCTGAGACAACTGGGTTGGGTTAATACAAGAGGAAGGGTGAATACAATGCGCAGTGAGCGAACAAACAGACATCATGTCAAACGGAGGACCATCGAGCACCATCTCATCTCCAGGGAGATCCCAACTGTTGACATCTGCCACATGTTGAGGACCATCTTCCCGAAGACTCCCAAACGCCTGGGCGTGCCACGCATGCCAGGAGTGGTTCCAGCTCAGATGCCATCCGCCCACCCCCTGGTTTGGCCGCTGGGCGGATGAGTTCCGATTCGGGGCGACCACGGATTGCTGGGCGGATTGAGGGCCTCACATGTGACCTTGCAAGAAGACACATGCACAGCTGAAATATGACACCTCCATGGTATAGTGAGGACAGCACGCCAGGGTATGGTAACTCAACATCATAGACACCGAAATGCTGCTTCGCGGGGAATAAGACCACGTTGATGCCCCCTTCATCAGAGTGTAAACGATCGCTTTATCGGGCAGAGTTGTTTTGATCCTCTTTGTGCGGGGGCTGATGCATCACTGAAAGTCTATCCAACTTCTCTTAAACCATCGACGGTCGGTCAAACCCGTTGGCACTTCTTCAGGCGCCAACCGTTGGTGCCAAGGCACAGGCCCTTGCGGCGCCACACGCGCGGCGCGACACGTTTTCGCGGCAGGAGCGTTGTTCGGGTCTGGGGAGGTGGTTGGGGCTTGGACTTCAACGGCGATGGATAAAGGCCAGGAGCCCCGAACGTAGCGTCCTAGCCTTCGAAGCGGCGGTTAGAAACCTCGGCAGGATGTGTTTGGTGACTTTTGGGGAAAAACGCGACCTCCCAACCACAGATCCAACGGTTTATTCCTGATCCCGATCCCTACCAAACCGACCTCGGGCACCACGTCTTCGTCTTTCCCCCCGTCCCTCTCGGCGGCCAGTCGCCGATGCCAGCGGAGCCCGAGCCGGAGAGCCGTTCCGACGCGGAGAACGCGCCTCACAGCAGTGCGGCCAGCACTGCGGACACGGAGAACATCGCAGGCGAACGGTTGGACGGGGGAACGGCCGGGCCGACCCCGCGTTGGACGGACGGGGGAGGTGACATGGTTGGTTTCTGTATTTTTTGTTTGTGTTTGTTTCCTTTTCCGGTTGGGTGTATTTGTGTGTGTGGTTGCAAGGATGAACGGTGACGGTGGGTGAATGTGGATGGAGGATTGCTGGTCTTTTTCGGGTGTTGTTCGTTTTGGAGAGGAGAACCCGTTTGCACTGACTTCCACTGCTCGTTCTTCTTACCCTCCCTTCCCTACCTTCCCTTCGACTTGCGTGTTCTGTCTAATTGAGGCACTATCGGGGACCCCCACAAACCATCAATGACCTAGCTTTCCCTAGCAGAAAACTTGGTTTTTGTATGTGAAAACCTCAGGTTTAAGGGCCACCTGGTAAAAGATGAGGAAGTTCAGCGGGTTCGTTGCCAATGCCGCTTGACCTTCGTTTCACCAAAACAGCTTCGCGGGTCTTTCCACGGTCCCACGCCAAGAACCGCCAGGTGTGCATGTGGCAAGCACAGTACCAAGCGCCGCGAGCTCAGGGACCAAGCGGTTCACAAGCAAAGCCGCTTTCTTTGGGGGTGATGATTTCTGGCTGTTCTGCGTGTTCTGGCCTGTAAAACCTACTAGCCGATGGCGGTGTTCTTGCTTTGGAAACGATGCTTCCGCCTGTGAGGCTTTCCTACCTCTTAGGAAGACGCCAACCGTGCCTCTTTGGTCCGAAGTGAAAAAGGCTTCCGCTCCTTTCTCCTTTCCCCCCAAGGCGGAGGTGCCAACGCGTGGCTCCGCTGGGCACGGTCTCGGAGCGTGCAAGCCCTGTGCCTTCTTTTACAAGGCGAGTCGGTGGGGAGGTCGAGGTGGGGTACGAGGTCAGAGGTCGGATGTCAACAGAACCTCCAAGCTTGTCGCGAGGGGGCTGCAGGGATTTTATAAGATCCTGTTCATATCGTGGCTTTGATTCATCTACGTGATGTGTGGGGTACAAGTCAGGGACGATGCTGCTCACTGGGCGGAGATTGGCACGTGGGGCAAAAAAAGGCGTCGAAGCAGCAAAATGAGTGTGGGGGGCTTCAGTGTTTCAGGGCGTCACTTCTTGGTCATCCCAGGCAAGTACGGAAGACCATCTTCTTCCATCTTTCTGGGGCTGTGTGACTTAATGGATCGTTTGACGAAGTTGGCCAAGAGACTTCGACCTTGAGACAGGTGTGATGAAAGGCTCCCTTGGGTCGAGAGTGCCTTGCGAAGGTGACCCGCATGTGCATCGCTACTAGTAACAAGAAGCTATTAGGAACAAGTGCATCGCTACTAGTAACAGTGTCTCGTGTTTGTTTGTTGGAAGATTGGTGATTCAAACACACGCGTCTTCGGCCGCGTCAAGCTTGCCGTGTCAATTGGAGGATGGATGCCAAAGTGGCTTCGAGTGTGCCTTTTGCCATCTTTGCCCACCAGGCAGGGGCATAGCGGGGGTGGGAGCTGGAAAGCTGGTGAAGTCACATGTGAAGAAGGTGGGTCTTTTCGGTTTCCACCCAGTTACGGTGTGAGCACGAAGCCTTAAAAAGAGATTCCGGTGCATGGAAGTCAGAGAACCTCCGCAGACTGCCCAGACTGCCCCGCCGGACTTGGTGCGTTGTTTTTTTGAACCATCGTTCGTGCCGTGACCATGTCCAATCTTGAGTCAACGTTTGGAAAGACAAATGCCTTTGGTCAACTGGTCAACCACCTCTTCGGGACTCGTCTTGAAGAAGGGAGAACTGTGCTCCTCGCTTCTTTGAGGAGAGAAGATTCGCCGCAAGAAGGAACTCAAGCAGCGAAGGAAGTTGAACAAGAAGCAGTAGGCAGATGGGCGACCAGAGACAGGGAGGGTTGGACCGTTGGATGACCGTTGTTCAAGCGAAAGCCTTCCTGCTTATTTTAGGAGTTCAAAAGGAGTTCTCAGAGAAGGGAAGGAAAAGAGGTGTCCTGTCTTGCATTAAAAATGCATTTCTTGCTTTAAGGCAGAAGGAAACAGCCGCTTTACAAATCGTTGTGAAGATTTGTTTACGATCGAAAACATCCCTCGCCCCTTCCTCAGTGCTGGAGCCCGGCAGGGCCCTTGCTCCTAGTAGCAATTCCAGGAGCCTCTAGTAGCGTCCTTGCTCCTAGTAGCGATGCCAGGAGCCCCTAGTAGCATCCTTGCTCCTAGTAGCGATGCCAGCACCCCTAGTAGCATCCTTGCTCCTAGTAGCGATGCCAGGAGCCCCTAGTAGCATCCTTGCTCCTAGTAGCGATGCCAGGAGCCCCTAGTAGCATCCTTGCTCCCAGTAGCGATGCCAGGAGCCCCTAGTAGCATCCTTGCTCCT